AACTCCCTTCTTAACCAGTTCACCAGACACATGCAGCCGTGTATGAATCCCATGGGTTCAGGTATAACACTTCCCTACAGATCACTATCTATTCCCTGTATTGGTGAGCACTCCTCAGTTGAGTCACAAATTGCTTGGGGTCAGAGAGCATGTCTGAGAATTCTTCACCTTCATAGCTCTTAGTTTAGCGTTGAGCTTAGAGTCATCTCCCATGCACAGTTGTTGGTTGGTCTTGATAACTCTTGGCCAAATCAGATGTGAAACCTCTTTGGAGAAAAAACATTTATTGTCTCATATAGGGTGACGAACTACCTGAGTTTGTCTGGGACTGTCCCAATTTTAGCACTGAAATTCCTGTGCCCCAGCAAACTGCTCAGTCCCAGACAAACCAAGGTGGTTGGTCACCGAGTGCTAGGATTCCCCAGTTTGAAATATGTCCTTTACACTGCAGACCAGATACAAGTCCTCTCGTTATAACCTCACATCTTTGCTCCACCCTCCTGGACACACTCACATATACACTTACACACACACACACACACGCAATCACACCACCAGTGCCTGGTCTACCGCTCCCCTGGCTTGATTAGTGGTCCAATTGCTCCAGACTTTACTGACAAAGTGTCAGCCTGCAGGAAAATGTTCTCATCTCAGCCTCTTCTCTCAGCTTTGTGACCTCCCCAGTTATTGCTGTCTGTGACATTTACTCCTCTCTAACCAGCAGAGGTCCTGGGGAGAAACACAGTGGTCTCAACCATGAGAGGCTGGATTTCAGATATTGCTGGCTTCTGCCTTCTGAGTCCTGGCGGAATGATCAGGACTTGATAGTTTCCATATTTGGGTTGTCATTCTTGGTAAGCGACAGCCCAGGAAAATCCTTGGTATGTTAGCTCCTTACACCTTGTTTTCCTCCCACAGCCATAATTGCTCGTTTCACACTGACCTCCACCAGCACTTGGGCCCAGTACAGCCTCACCATCTGCTCATGTGACACCAACATTATGGCCTCCCTCTATGCATCCCTAAATGGGGCCAAGGAAAGCAGCAGAGATGACAAGTGTGCCAGCTGGCACTGGTGACAAAAACCTAGAGAGTGATGCATCATGGCCCAGGACGGAGGAGGAAGGGAGGACGCTGATAGCTAATCGTGCAGCATCTTCGGTTCAGCGAGGCAGACTTCTCTGCTTATGGGAGCAGAATCAACGTGTGTTGTTTTGTTCCTGCAGTAAATGCACCAGCTTCTTGTTGATGTATGGTCTCAAGAGAATGTTCAGTAGAAAGGAAACCTAGAAATCACGGTGTGGATTGGTCTATTTTTCTTCTGTGCATCTCTCTATGGCATTATCGGGGGATTCTCTAGGGAGTTTGAGGATTGCAAGGAGAGAGGTTTCTGGCTGCTCAGGGGAAGAGCCGGGGCAGATTGATCATGCTAGGGGTCAGGTCTGTCCCTTAGGCTGCTGAAGCTCCCACCCACCTCTGCTACTCTGGTGAAGGCTGTCAGTCTCCAGGGTTCTCTGTTCTTTGCTTTAAGCCCTGCAATTGATTGACTGATTTCATTCAATTCTCTCTGAATGCTGCTCCAGGATTAAATCAGTCAAGCAGCCACTTGAGATTTGTTCTAGAGATTTCAAATTTAGCTAGGTGACTTTGGCTTTTTTGGTTGTTGATTTTGATGTATTTGATGTTAAGACAGTTCCATAAGTTTCTGTCCTTTGCTTTTCTATTGAGTCGTTTACACACACACACACACACACACACACACACACACACACACACACACACACGTGCATTGCCTTACTATACTTCATTTTCACCTCTCTCTTTTTATAAAAGGAGTAGGAAATGGCAGCACAAAGGCACCCAATAAGATACAATACTCGTCCTCAATAGAGGAAGCTAGATGCCTTCTTTTTCAGGCCAATTAGCCCCTCCCACTCCCACAGGTCCTAAGGAGCTCTGGTGATGCAGTGGTTAAAGCAGCTCAGCTGCTAACTGACAGGTCGACAGTTCAAACCCACCAGCTGCTCCGCGGGAGAAAGATGTGGCAGTCTGCTTCTGTAAAGATTTACAGCCTTGGAAACCCTTTGAGGCAGTTCTGTTCTGTCCCGTAGGGTTGCTATGAGTTGGGATCTACTCAACAGTGGTGGGATTGTTTTTGTTTTATCTCCCAAGGGCTGATGAAGCCTTTGAAGCTCCAGTGCATCAGCCAAGAGAGAGAATGAGAGAGAGAGAGAGAGTGATGTGTTTCCAACCACACACATTAGATACAAACAAATCCCGTATCAGCCCTGTACCGGGGCAGAGACAGCCCCAGTGGCAGAGTCTCAAAGAGGTTGAAATCCTAGTATTATCTCATCTCCAACACAGTCTGAGGTCAGCCGGCTAGGTCCCTTCCTAGTAGGTGGACTCAGTTGACCAGTCAAGCACAAAAGAAATAGAAACTTCATGGCCTTGACTTCTAAAATACCCTCGGGAAAGAGCACCCATTAACAGCAGCAGCTTTGGGGCACTTATCTCTCAGTCTTACATTAAAATACATATCCAAGCCTTTTCCTGCAGCTATAAGGAAAAGAAATAAGCCAAACACTTGAAACAGCAGAGATGGCTGGCCTGAGGGTTGGTGATTTACACATGGCACCATAAACAACTTCAGGCATGGAGAAACCCACCGGAGTACACTGAGGTTACTGGATGGTCAGAGGTTATGAGAGGGAGATCCTTTAGCAGGGATGGAAAACATGCCAGAGATCAGAAGAATATAATCCTTGTGGGGCCATAAACAAGTCATGTCCAAGACATGGTGAGTATAGAGTATGGTCTGTTACATACCTGGAGATGAAGAAAGGTGATGTTGCATGTGACCAAAAGGCAACAACCTTTACAGCAGATGGTTAAGAGTCTGTACTTGAGACAAACTACAGCTGAGAGACACTAAAGGCTTCTGAGCTAGAGAGGAAAAGTACTGAAAGAGGGAAAATGGAAGGATGGAGGAGGATTCTCAATCTAAACGAGCCTTAAAGAAGATGCTTTCTGCTACAGTGAGGAGGAATTGCAGAGGTGAAAGCTCAGAAGCAGAGACTGTGCCTGATTCCAGAGAGTGGGATTGAGTGGGGCAGCGTGTGGCTCTGCTGCAATGTTGTGGCTAAAGTAATGGGTAGGAAACTGGACAAGAATCCCGAACAGTTGACATGCTGCCTTAGAGTTCAGCTCTCTTGCACTTACACACATAACTCTTCACCCTTTTGCGTAGGAGTCCATTTTGATGCCATGATAAAGACCTCCCCACTCCTGCACCATCCCGCAGATCAGGAGGCATGGGTTTCTAGTTCTGGCTTTAACCCTAACTAGCTATGTGGCCTGAGGTTAGACATCCCAGAGCTGAAATAAGAATTTTAGACTTCCTACGGCCTAAAAGGATCATGGTTTTGCCCTCACTGCCCCGTGTTGTTTTTAGCTGCTGTGGAGTCAGTTCCCGACTCATAGCCACCCCGTGCACAACAGAAAGAAACTGTCTCCATGATTGGCGGCAGATCAGATCATTGTGCTCGATAGGGTTTTCATTGTCTGATTTTTAAAAAAGATTGCTGGGCCTTTCTTCCTAGTCTTTCTCAGTCTGGAAGCTGTGCTGAAACCTGTTCAACATCATAGCAACACACAAGCCTCCACTGACAGACAGGTGTGGCTGTACTTGAGGTGCCTTGGCCAGAAATCGAACTCAGGTCTCCCGCATGGAAGATGAGAATTCTACCATGGAACTACCACTGCCCCATAAGTACTTTCAAATAAAAAACAATTTTAAATCACGTAAAATGTACAAAGATGTTTTACCAAGTTCTGATGTTTTCCCATAATGATTACTTCGATGCCTTTGACCAAATCAACATTTAAAAATACATTTGCTCCACTGTAGTTTCCCTGCCATGTGGATGCTCAGTCTAAGCACATGTTCAGTTGGCTTGTTGGATAATCCAGCAGTGGTCAGTTCCTGGCCTGGGCCTCAGTTTTCTCATCTTGTGAAATAAAAGTATGAAACTAAAAGATCTCTAAAATCTCTCCCAGCTTAACATTTTTGTCATTTCATAACGTCAAAGATCTATTTTCTATCTACCTTTATTCCCATCTTATCTTGGCATTTTGGTGTTTTCCAAATATGAATGAGAAAAATTATGTTGATATTTCCATATCCCCAACCCCCACGTACCTGTTAAAGGCCATATCTAAACCTCAGTGAGTATCTAGGGCATTTCTGAGTCAAATTAAAGAATAATTGTGTCCCTTCTATGTCTAAGCCTTGCAATGGATGTTTGCCTACAATCAAATATGATCATCAGCAAAAAACCTTTGATTTACTGGTGAAAACATTTTGGAATAAAACTAAAACCATTCTGGAAAGGGATAAAAGTTATGACCGATGTAGACTACTTACATTATATTTCCATCCCTATTAAGTAATTTAGGGTGTGGTCCTGAAAATTTCCCTTAAGACCTGTATGCTTTAGCTTTCCCATTTGTTCATTCATTCATTTAGTCAATCATTCATTCACTCATTTGTGATTCAACCTACCTCTAATCCTTTCCAATAAGGTAAGTCTACCTCTAATAGTTATGAAATTTCTTGTGAACCAATCTCACATCTCCATCTTGCCAACTTTGATGCCACTGCCCTTTGACTTGATACTTTCTGTCCTGGTTTCCATGCATCCTCTGAGAGGGAAGCAGCAGAAGCTGGGTCTCTATCCAGCCTTGCTGTGGTTCTCCTTTTAGATGGGACCTGCTCATTATTTGCTGGAAGGTTTACATAACAGATGTTACAAGGCAGACAAGCAAGCATGTACTCCCAGAGCTCAGAGCCCAGAGCACATGAGCCAGGCATGCACACATTCACCAACACCAATCCCAGGAGGGAGAGCCGCTGGGGTGATGGAGGGAAGGTGCTCTGTGGGGCGAGCACTGCTCCGAAGCCCTGCTAATGTCTTTGTGTGGCCATGCTGTATTTTCAGCTTGTCATCATGGCTGGGACAGTGCTGCTTGCCTACTACTTTGAATGCACCGACACTTTTCAGGTGCATATCCAAGGATTCTTCTGTCAGGATGGAGACTTAATGAAGCCTTACCCGGGGACCGAGGAAGAAAGCTTCATCACCCCTCTGGTGCTCTACTGTGTGCTGGCTGCCACCCCAACTGCTATTGTAAGTACAGAAATTGACTTCCTTCTTTATTGTCAGACTCCAAAGAGCATTTCCTCTCTGCCTGGTCTCCTCTTTCCTCTCTTCCTGGACATTCAACGGCAGTTCTATCAGTGGTGTCCTGTTTCAGCCAAGACAGAATGAGGGGAGCTGTGCAGAAAAGCTCATTAAAATGTGTCTTGTCTTTTATAGATGGCTTTTGCTTTTTGGTATCTGAATTAAAAAATATTTTTTTAAAAAGCATGAGTGAATGTCATAAATCAACAGGTGAGATTAGCTAGAGTGTTAAGGACACCTACTGTGGCCCTTGAAAAAAATAGGCTGTGGGATGTGTATATTCACAAGAAGCTCTGAATGTAAATACTGACATTGATAGAAACACTCAGGTCAGAGTGGAACGGAATCCCCCAGCCCTGCGTCTCCTGCTGTTCTGACTGAACTTCTAGAGAGGCCAGAGATGAGAGAAATCGCTTGTCCCCAAGTTTGCCGTGACTCACTCTTGATGCCTCTGGCTCTCTTCTCTTTACGTTACACTCAATTAAGTTGCAACTTTACCTCTATTTATTTCATTTTCTCTCTCATGAGGCAAAAAATCGGCCAGCTTATCCTCTACGGGGAATGCTTCAAGAGCATAAAGCCTGCAGATCTGTGTTGTCTGGTAAAGTGATTCAACACTTAGTCTTTTTAATTTTTATTTATGAGATTATATTTTGTGGGGGACATAAAGTAAACTTTTCTGTGTGTAAACATACTGCAAGGTCAGATTAGTTGGGATGTGATCTCAGTTCTCACTTTCCCTTTCTCTTCTAATAACCATCTCCCCCAACTCTCTTTCCTTTCCTGCCTGCTGATGAGCCCCTAAAATATATGCCTTCTTTTGGGGCAGTAATAGCAATACTGACTGACATGCTGAGGAATATACCGATTACTCAGATTTCAGGCAAAGTGTTGTTTTCTATGCAAATGTTTTCCTTGTTTTAAGATAGAGAAGGAGCCCTGGTGGCGAAGTGATTAAGAGCTCAGGCTGCTAATCAAAAGGTCGGCAGTTCGAATCCACCAACCACTCCTCGGAAACCCCATGGAGCAGTTCTACTCTCTCCTATAGGGTCCCTATGAGTCAGAATCGACTTGATGGCACATAACTACAACAACAGCAAGATGAAAAATGGAAATGAATTCTGAGGAGAAATAATAGGGACATAGAGCACTCTGCGTTCATTTGATCATTGAGTCCCACGCTCAACAAAGCTCCGCCTTAAATGACAAAATTATGCGGTAGGGATTAAGGTCACTGTCCACAAGCTACAACATGGTGTGGCAGAGTGGTTAAAAACAAGCTTTGCAGCCTGACGTACCTCAGTTCAAGCCCTGGCTGTGTGATTACTGTTTCTTCCCAGATAAAATGGGGATAAGGGACTGCCAATTTCATCAGAGATATGAGTCATATAAACAACTCAGCACGGTGCCCAGCGTGTATTAAGTAGTCAGGAGTAACAACATGGAGAATAAGAAAATTGAACATCTTAACTGGAAGCCAATCTTTACTCTCTTCAGGGTCACAGACCAACTTCCTCAGTTTAAAGAGCATTAGATTGCACTGAGTACACCCAGCCCTAGAGCGATGAGAGGTGTGTCCTCCCCAGAGGAAGGTTAACTTCTGCTTGGTCTTACTCGAATTTCCCAACATCCTGGGGAATAAAAGAGCACATAAAAGGCACCCTTCTTCATCTCTCACAGAGCCACACACTTCATTCTCCAGAGAAAAGCAGGAGGATAGATTGGGTTTTATCTGGAATGGTTTACTGGTGCCTCTGTTTGGAGGCAAAGGGCTTAGTCTGGAATCAGATCCTGGTTTCTTCCTGTCTCATAAGCATGTCATTTTCCTGTGTATTCAAACATGCAAGGAAATATCATTGCCAAGCTTCTCCTATAATTACTTCTTGTAATTATAGAGAATTTTTTTCATTAAAAAATTAAAGGAAGCAAGGGAAAATTATTTTAAAAAACTATGAGCAGAAATTAATGAATCAAAAAAACAGTAGAATTGATCAATACAATCAGCTAATTCTTTGAAAAGTAAAATGGACAACCCCCTGGCTAATGTAACATAAGAAAACAATATAAACTGTTGCCATCAAGTTGATTCTGACTGATAGTGGCCCTATAGGACAGAGTAGAACCGCCCCATAGGGTTTCCAAGGAGCAGCTGGTGGATTTCAACTGCTGACCTTTTGGTTAGCAGTGGAGCTCTTAACCACCGTGCCACCAGGGCTCCAAATAAAATAATATAAGTAAAGAAAATTAAGAAGAAATAAGAATATATAAGCAAATATACATAAACCTTTGAAAGTCTATACTCTATTTTTATGTAAATTATATATACAATTCTGTGCCAATAAATGCTTAAATCTCAATAATATTGACAATATTCTATGAAAAGACAATGTATCAACAATGCCTTAAGAAGATGTAGAAAACCTGAATATAGGAATAACTATAGGATATAATTTTAAGTGTATCTAAAGTTTATCTCACAAAACAGTACTGGAGACACATAACTATAGAATAAGTTCCTTCAAACTTTCGATTATGAAAACTGTGACCAATAATGCTTATTAGCCCCTAAAATATATGCTGAGGAATATTCCATAAATGATGATGATAAGAATAACATCTTTTAATTTACTTATATTCTACAGTCCTTGCCTAATTTATCTTCACAATGGCCCAGTAAAATAGAAAAAGCACCATTCTAAAAAACCTAGGGGAAGTGTTTGGTCTAATTTCTTTATTTTTGAGTTGAGAACATTGAGACTTAGAGAAGTTAAGTGATTGCCAATGGCCCCAGCTACTTCCATGCATGATTGGACAGATGGCCACCCATTTGGTTCTACTTTTGTTTTCCTCCCAAGTGAGGGCCATTGCTAGGAACCAGGGCTGATTATAGCTGACAGGTTAATGGCAGAGACTTGGTGTGGCCTTGGAACCCTGCTGATGGTGCTTGATCTTCCTCCAAGACATGAAAATAAGTGAGCAGCAGCAGGACAGAAAGCAGAAACTTTCTGATGCTCAGGGACATTTTCTGGGAGCAGGGAGCTGCATTCATTTTCTTCTGCCCAATCCTAGCAAAGTATGGCCTAAGAACTGCCTTTGTTTGGCCACTTTGTGAAAGATCTCAAGTGTCTAACTCAGCACACCCACTACTTCTACAATTCATTCTTCACTCTCTTCACACTGCAGTCATCCTTTCTCAGGTTTGGTCTGTCATGAGAGGCAGGGTATCCCAGTCACAGCTCTGCCATAGTAGTTGTCTGGCCTCTGGTAAGTCATGTTCCTTTATAGACTTCCTCATCTTCAGCTAAAAGGAGGGTTTGGGCTAAATTATCTCCAAGATCCCTTCCTGTTCTCAGAGTCCATGACCTAAAAAAAAAACAACACATTCAGGTTGGAAAGTTCTAAACGTCAGATTCCCAACCCCCAAGTCTCTACCTTCTCTGTCGAGTTCAGTTTTGCACCTCTGTGCCTGGTCCAGTGTTTCATGGAACTCCACAGTTTATTTCTCTTCAACACCGTTTCCTATTGTCCCTGAAGTAGAAAGAAGACAGGACCCCTTTTGGGTGACAAACTGATGCCAACTTCAAAAAGTAGGTTGGTACTCAGTGTTCTGGGATCCTCAAACCCATTAACCACAGAAAAAACCTAGCATCCTGCAATGCTGTGGGTCTCTGTGGATGGGCATTAACACAACCTTTAACAGCTGCAGGAACTTACAAGAAAGATGTAAGAGAAGAGACTCTGCCCAGGGTTTGACCTGTCATTTCCTATTTCCTCCTTTTGTGCTTTGCTGTCAGAAAAGATCAGCGTCACATTGAGGCGAGGCCACATGGGATAAACGGAGCCAGGCCGAGGCTACTGCTGTCCCGAGTCTTTAGGAAAGGTGGGCACATGGGGAATTTATGGTCTCCAGAACTGTTTATCCAAAAGCATAGCCAAAAATGCTTCAAAAAAACCTGCAGGGTGTGTTCTGACCAGCCTGGAAACCTTAACTACCTACTGCCTGGGACTGCCTGAGTAGACTCATATACTCAGAGTCAAAGGCTGAGAGAGCCTGTTTGATAAGAGGATTTACAAGGCAGAGAATCTGATTTACCCTTATTTTATCTCAGCTCCAGTACCACAAGGCATGAGAAAATGGCTATTAAGCCTTTTCCTTGGCCTCACAACAAAGTGACAGAGGAGTATTTAGTTTAGTATGGAAGCAGCAGTACATTGGATTCCCAGCCTGGGAGTATTGAAACAGCTCGTAGTTTGCATGCAAGTGTGCATGTGTACATTTGCATGGCTCGTCCTGAATTTTCTAGGAAAGGAAGAGACAAACACAGTGTGGTAGAAAAGCACAGTTTGGAGGAAATTGTGACTCTTCACTCAGGGGCTTCTGGACTTTGAACTCTTACAGTGAGTGTAAAAGCGGAATGCATAGTGGACTCTCTGATTAAACACTGAGTCTTGACTTTTTGAGGAGGGACGCATCGGCTGAAGCAAAGGAGACATTGCAAGACATTGTACTCCCTCTTAATCTGCCTCTTCCAGGCTCTAAACAACCTTGTATATTAAAATTATTTCTTACAGTTCATATCTTTTTCCTTTTTTATACTTTCACATGGGTTCTGTTTTTTAAAATAAATTTTACTCTGTCCTTATAATTTGTATTTTTTTCTGGGAAACATTTATAGATATCCCCATTAATTTTTGTGGATTGAAAAAAAATCCATTTTCTCCTTTTCTGCCCAGGTAGCCAGTGAAATTTTCTTACATTTGCTTTAGAGATTACTTTTCCCCTAACACCATCACATAGAGAGATGTGCTTATGTCATTCGAGATGTCCCTTCTAATGACTAGTGATGATAATAATATTAAGGAGCTCTGATCATCTGTTTCTTGAAAAGACTATTGTTTGTCTAAAAATATGTGATAGTCAGCTTCCTTGGAGATCACCATGGATT